GTATTACGATATTGCTTTGGGGAAGATTGTGGATTTCGTGTCCAACCATGTCATTCACCAGGCTCGTGATGCAATGGCTTTCATCTGCAATGCCCTATGCAAGGTTAACCCCGAGAAGGCCCTTAAGCGTTTCATCCCTGTCTTGACTGCAGCTATCCGCACTGAGATCGAAGATAATGGTGCTGGATCAACCCGAACCACTGGAACTGATGTTTTGCCTCGTGATCGAGGTCTAGTTTGGAATGTTAGTATGCTGAGCATGTGTGTGGTGCATGTCGGCAGCGCCGTTATTGGCCACCGTCAGGAACTGTATGATATTGCAGTCTACATGCAACAGAACTGCCGTGGCATTCCTACAGTCCATATCTCCAACTTCATCCACCACCTTCTGCTCAACCTGACTGGAACCTACACTAATGATTTCTCACTCTACGAACCTTCAGTCAAAGCAAACGGCATCGAGCCGAAGCTCTGGAGCTACCAAGCTGATGTGAACAACCTCAACATCAATTGGCATGTGCCGACGCGTCAGGAAATTGAGTTTGCGGTCGACGTCTTCAAAATCCAAACAGAGACGGCTTTGAAGTCGCTATCTGCACTGACCCATGAAACATCAACCGTCAAACGCGATGGAAGTGGCAAGGACTGGTCAGATGAGGTTACTCGGAACCTCGTGCTCCTGCGGCTCGTGTTGTCTGGAGTTTCTGTCCTCTTCGATCCCAAAGCTGCATCGACCACAACACAAGGACCCTCGAACGGCACCCCCGGGGATGTTGAGATGGGTGATGATTCGGGTGTTTCAAATGACACTGATGAAGATCCTGATACTGTCCTGGACAGCTCTGATGATGCTATAATCAGACAGGCTTTCACTTACCCCACTGGGTATGCCCTCAAGGAGGGAGACCCGTTATATACTACTATTCATGAACTCCGTGAGCGAACTGGTTGGGTCTTGCATGATGTGCACCGGTTCTTGAGCGATAAGCAAGAGGATGATGTCCCTTGCTTTGGGGCTTTGTACTCTGCCTTTAGATCGTGGTTTGTTGATGTGGGCATTGAAAGATCAGCGCATGTACTCGACCGAGTGACTCGACTTCTGGCCGCGGACATTCATCCTTATAAGATGAGTGGTATGCGAAAAGATTACCCAAGAGCCCTGCTTGTGCGCAGAGCCAACGTGTATCACCTCCAACGGCTACGACACAACGCTTCTCCCCGTCCTCGGTCTAAGCTTGACGAAATTCTGCTTCTTGATATTGCCGAATCCTGTGTCTCGCTCTACACAGAAACACGCCGTAATGCCCAAAATGCAGGCGAATCGGCACTCAAGGCGGTCTATGGCGGCAGACTACTGGTCATTCCTCCTCTACTCACGGCTCTGCAAAGGGGTGTCAAGGAAAATGATCATGCACGCATCAAGGGAGCACTCTACTCGCTGCTTCTGAGCAGTGTAGCCAAAACTGTTGGGCGGCATTGGAAGTATGCCCCTGCCGTGGTCAGAACCTTCATCGATGCCAGTGCCGTTGATAAGCCTTCTGTCCAGAAGATTTGCTCTACCGCAGTATTCCAGGTCATGGATTACGGTCGCGCGATGGAGCGAATGGCTATCCTAGATCAAGAAATTATAGAGGCAATTGCTCCTACTGAAGATGTCACCGAGCAAATCGAGAAAAAGCGCGCAGTTGTTAATAGCAAGCGTGTTGCTATCGAGAAAAAGAAAGCTGACCTGTCCGAAGAGCTGGTCAACCTGGCACGGGTATCCCATTGGAAGATTGCCAGCCGTGCTGCGACCATCGTCATCACTATGGGTCTCCGCTTCGACTATATCGCCAGCGATAACTTGATTGAACTGATGACACTCGGATCTATTGATGATCACCCTGGCTTGCGCGGCATGTACTCCCAGGCGCTTATCGCGCTGTTCACTATGATTGATGTGCGGGCCATCTGCACTCACGAGTATAAGAACTATATTCTTGGTCATCAGCGTTTCCCGTCAAAGATCAAGGTTGCAACAAAGCCCTATGAGAAGGGGTACACCCAAGAATATCTTTCTAGCTTCGCGAAACCTGAGGCAGAGTACTACGTTGATCACGATTTCCCAGGCTGGCTTGTGTGGGGCAAGACTATGCCAGCTTACAAGTCCAACGTAGCACGGGACATCGAGTATGACGATGTTGAATGGAAGGTTCGCACCAAGATGGGCAAGTTGTTCACTCGCGAGTGGTTCTCTAAGTTCTTCATGTACTTGAAGCAAGAGCCACGGGACCCATCTGCTGACAAGTTCCGCATGTCCTGTGCCATGATGCTTCTTTATGCATTCGAGCTCATGATTCGGGATGGACTTACAGCCGCCTCGTTCGAGGAAATCCAAGAAGAGATCAAAGAAGTTTTTGAAGACGGCAGTGATAAGCACCAACATCGTGCCACAGCTGAAATTCTCGGAGCTTTGATCTCCTCTGTGACGGATACGGGCGTGGAGAAGCGGACCATGGTCTGGGAGTATGCATTCCCCATTGTACGGAAGATCTTCACCGACGGCCTCACTCCGGAGAACTCTGGCTACTGGACAACATTCCTTCACATGATTCTTCAATGCCGTGATCCCCGTCGCGCTTGGCCGTTGGTTGATTGGCTATCCAGCTTCCGCCTTGACATGTCGACCAACGCAGCATTCAAGGAAAGCTCTAAGATCAACCTCCTACATCAATGTATCATTGATTCTGGTTGGCACTACCAGCTTGAGAAGCCCATTGTGGAAGATTTCCTCGCACATTTGGACCACCCGTACAAGGGCGTCCGCGAAGCAATGGGTCAGACTCTTGCAACTATTTATCGCACGAGGTACCACGAGTCGTACCCCGATGTTCAGCATCTTCTCGAGGCCCAGAAATCCTCATCTTCTGTCGGCGCATACCCCTACCCGCCTACTGAAGACTTTACGAAGGTGATTCAGGGAGTTTTCACTCGAATCGAGGAATGGCGGAAGGCCAGAACTCCTGGCCAACAGACACCCTCGTCTTACACCTCGGGCAGCAAAACTGTTCTCCTTTGGCTGGACTCGACTTTGTCTTCTCACGAGTGTACCCAGCTCGTCTCATTCTTCCCTGATGTCTTCACCGCGCAGCTCTTGCACATGATGGATGTGAAGGAAGACCCAGAGCTTCAGTCACTCGCATACCACGTTTTCCGTCATCTCCCCAACATCCCGTACCCAGCTGAGAAGAACTCCGAATTCATCCAATCTCTCATCCGCATCGGACAGACATCCCCGTCATGGCACCAGCGCCTGCGTATCATGATCAACATCCAAATCATCTACTTCCGCCGCCTGTTCCTGCTTGACCCCGCAGACCGTGACAAGCTCTTCGAGTGTATCGCCTCCATGCTCGAAGACCCCCAGCACGAAGTCCGTGCTGGCGCCTCGGCCACACTATCCGGTATGGTCCGATGCTCGCCCGTATTCCTGAGGGAAAAGATGGTCAGTCGCTTCCATGAACGCTTCACGAAGGTTCTCGCAGACAATCCACTCCCTAAGAAACCGAAGAACTTCCGCTCAGGAATCGCCTCTGCTGTGTCATCCGGCGCTGGAACCCCTACTCCTGAGCACAATCGCTTGATTATCGCTCGCCACGGTGCTGTGCTGGGTCTTGGCGCTTTGATCCAGGCCTTCCCCTACAACAGTCCCCCGCCTCACTGGATGCCTGAGGCATTGACTTCGCTCAGTATCCGCGCGGCCAATGATCCTGGCATTGTTGGTTCAAGTGTGAAGTCGATTATCAGCGAGTTCAAGAAGACTAGACAAGATACTTGGCACATTGATGCAAAGGTTCGTGCTTATGCGTTTATCCTGAATCCTATTTTGAAGTAAATGGCTAACCTATATTATTTTAGGCTTTCACATCGGATCAGCTAGAAGACTTATCGGGTGTTCTATGGAAGAGCTACTTTGCGTAGATGGAACTTAGGTACTGGCCAGAAACTCCTAATAACAATGTGATTAATGGCCGTTCGTATATATTCCTCGGTCTCCTCGCATCATGACCTCTCTGATAGGGTGGGATATTCTTTAGTACTGAAATGAAAGACCTGTGCTATTTTTAGTTGCTCTTTATATAAATAGACACTGTAAATGACTTGTGTCCCACGGCTATATAATTCCCCTGTAATAAGCACAAGAAGTGAGTATGACAAGGGAAATAACAAGCAATGGACAAGAATCCTTGTGCTTCGTATATTTAACGAGTAGCCAAATTAGGAAATGAGGGTGACATCTACTCAAATGGATAAAATTAGAAGTTCCCCTAGCATGTTGGTCCCTTTTAATGAATCCATTTTAATGAAATACGTTTATTATAGCTACGAGACGTGAAAATCTGACCTGATACTTTTGCAAAGTACTTGTTCTATGTCCCATGGGGTTGTACATTGTATAACAATCACGGAGCTTGTAGATCAGCGGCATAATATTCCAAGTAATATCTAACATATAACTATTTTGGCTTGTGGAACTTTGGACAATGTTCTGTCCTGTCTATCAGGTTGTTGTGGCATTAATTACCCAAGTCTTAGTCGGAGATGTAGTCAACACCGCGTAGTGATGACATCGTAGGCCCCTAAACCCTATCAAACGCTCCAGCCTCGTAGATATTACCGTCAAACAAATCCATCGCTTCATTCTTCTCTCATATATGCTTGGCCTGTTCATACAATCTAATTGCTCACCTCTGCACTTCCCTTTTCATCCTACCACACATACTGTGTACATCCCGTGGCTTCCAAAGCCGAAGCATGCAATTATCTGCCCTATCACTTACCTGTCACTCGCTATGAAATTCCTCACAAGAAACAGGGCACCATCTCCATTTCACATTAGGTCTATTATCTCTCCATGGGATCGTCCGTCGACCTGGTTGCGCTGGTTGGGGTATCTTACCTGTCTGATCACCGTTATCCAGACTAGCTCATATCTCTTTGGGTACCCAAAGACAAATCTTATGACTGTTTGTGCTTCGTTACATGGCCCCAAGGTTCTTCGGCCTGGTCAGTATCATGGAATCGTTGGTGTGTGGGACAAGGTAGCAGGCGAAGACTCACCTGAGCCGGATGCATTGGGAATAACACATGATCGAAGGTTTGTGTCTGTTTCAGGAAGTGTGCTAGTATTGGATTATGCTAAAAGCGATCCTTGCATTAGAGACAAGCGATTCTATCAGGGTGGTACCTTGACCCTGACCAGTATCGACTCCAACGTCTCGCACCCGGTCCCACTTATTTACGATCCATACCCATCATACAATAGCCGAGAATGGAAGAAGCAGTTCCATGGAAAATTCCAGCCATGTCTTGGCCCTAGGGATCATTATCTCGACCGCAGGTCTGCGGAAGACATGGTTCAAGTCTACAAGGGCCAGCAAGCCGGGTTTCCAGCACCGGGATTTGGATCGTACGAGGCATTAGGCCTAGACGGAAACGTTTGCACGGACCGGTACTCCCGCTTTGGGGCATATGGATACGATGAAGATGGCGAGGATGAGGTGCCGGGCTTCACGCGCCCTCCCGCAGTGCCGTGGTGCAAGGTTGATTGGGACAGGCTGCAAAACCTGTGCCTGGAAAGAAACGCAGATCGATACGAGTCAATTGAGACCGCTAACTCTTCAACCCAGAGTCCACTGGCATTCGATCTTCCCCAGGATCTTCATAAATCACAGAAGTCATCTGGGCGTGCTTCGGGTTTGAAGCAGTATCATCCTCGCTCGGCTGTGTTAATTCGGGCTTGGAATGGGCTCAATTGGAAACCCCACCATCGTGAATACCTTCGGGCTTTGATTATGGAGCTTTCCTTGCATTCTGGCGGTGAATATCAGATCTATCTCCTGTGCCATGTCAAGGAGAATGAGATGCCCATATTTTCTGATATCAAGACCATCAATCGACTCAGGAATTCCATCCCCAAGGAATTTCGGAATATGGCTCTTTTCTTCAATAACAAACTTTTGGAAGCTTGGTATCCCAAGATAGAAGAGCACAGGTGAACCAACCCTTTCCTATTAACTGATGTTATAGACAATTATCAACTAACAGCACCCCCAGTCCCCAACTCCAACACCACCAACCTCTCCAAATCTTCTCCCAGCTGTATCCGCACTATGACTACTACTGGCAACTAGAAATGGACGGTCGACACACAGGACACACCTACCACTTCCTTGACCGAGCAGTCTCATTCGCCCGTCAACAACCCCGAAAATACCTCTGGGAACGCAATGCCTACTTCTACACCCCCGGCGCCCACGGCAACTGGAGCGAGTTCACACAAATGGTCCACGAAAGCCTCTCCGACAGATCCAACCGCACAATCTGGGGCCCCGTAACCGGCACCGGGATCAGACCACTGGGCCCAGACCCTCCAGTACCACAGCCCGACCAAGACAACTACACCTGGGGCGTAGGCGAAGAAGCAGACTTCATAACATTCCTACCGATCTTCAATCCACAAGATACGCAGTGGACATTCCCGGACAAGATCTGGAACTTCAGATCCGGACCGTACACGCCGCGTCGCGCCGCGGTCATCACAATGGGCCGGTACTCGAAGCGTCTGCTGGATTTGATCCACCACGCGCAGGCGACGAGGGGTCTTGGACTTGCGTCGGAGATGACGGGTGCATCGTGGGCTTTGTTTCATGGTCTCAAGGCTGTGTATGTTCCTCATCCTATCTATGCGGATGGTCAGTGGACGCCGAGGGAACTGGCGCGTATCTACAACCCCGGTCCGCCGGAGAATGTTAATGGGGGTCCGGATAGTATTTGGAATTTTGATCATATTTTTGATCATATCATGTACCGACTCTCGTATATGTTTACGACGCATAGCGGGGAGGATTTGTACAGGCGTTGGCTTGGGTACAGGACTGCGGAACATGAAGGTGGGAAAACGGTGAGTATTTATAGTATTTTCTTAAGCTGTTTTAGTTCTTTTGGCCTGATTTTGGGGTTTGTTGGAATAATTGACTGATTTATTTGTTTTAGATATCCGAGGATCTTTATGGTCGACATTGCTTCCCATCTATGTTTCTTCATACGATCAAGAATACGGCGCAACAAATGGGGCCAGACAGGGCTGTTCCTTGATTCATATCCATTTGGGGTGTTTGGCTTGTTGACATCTCAGGTTTCTTTTGCTTGGGGTTATCTGGCGTTGGAGTAGAAGGCACATATGATTTGCTTCAATATCTACATGCAGTTTTAGAAGAACCTGAAGCCATTTGATATCATTTGCATTGAGAAATCTCCCCTTATACCAATTATTAAATTACAAAGAGATATATTGCTAGACAGTTTCAATTTAGATACTCAAATTATCCGATTTGGCTCTATTAAGCAAATCGCACAAAAACTAAATACTTCGTCACTGTATACTTAAAGGAGAAGCAGTGAAAAGGCCATCAAAACAGGCCAGGACACAAAAATTAGGCAACCTATGTACGTGAATGGAACAACCTGAGAAACCGAGAGCAATTTACCCTTCATATGCTCTGTGAATTTTGATAATCCCCGTCCCAAAAATGAAAGCAGTCCATCTCATGACATCATTAAGAACCCGTATTTCCTCCTCTCTATCCCCTGGCATTATACTTCTCATTAAAAGCATTGACCGCTGGAAAAGGAATTTGGTTAGCGCATGACACTATCTAGCATGGTTTGGGTAACCACTTACCGACAGCAATCTGTCTATACAGCCAGTTCCGTGAGCTTTCGTCTTGGACAGGAATGAAGGGTCCGTTGGCACCACCCTTGAGCGTGATACTCATTCCCGTGCGCTCCTTGGAGATGGTTTGGATATCCGTCAGGCGGATATCCCACTCAGTACACAGCTTCTTCGTGCGCACCAGCATGATGCGTGCGTACGTCAACAAGACTAGCATGTCTCGACCAGGGAGCTCTAGGTGGGCAATGTAATCCTCGTTGAAGTATTTGCCGTCATCTGTGGTCTTCAGCCAGAACTGTCCGAGAGCTTCGCGCTGCGAGTACGGGCGCACAATGCCGTCAGTGCCAATGAAGCGAGTGAGTCGAACACGATCGAGACCCTCGGCATCGAAAACGGTAGTAGTGTTGCGAACACCTTCTGCCAGATCTGGTAGAGTGAGTTGTTAGTTATGAATAATAGAGAGAGAAAATAGTTCAACTTACTGGAGGCAAGATCGAATGCACCGATTGCTGGTTTGGTAGCCAATCCAAGAACACCCTTTCCAACACCCTTGAAGAATCCTTGGATACCTTCTTTCTCAGCACCTTGTAGTGGATGGCGTGCCAAGCCACCTATACCGCTTGCCAGACTAGTTGCAAATGCATTGCCACCAGCCGTGATTCCATACAGTGCGTGCTTGGGGCGGTTGCGCACCTTAGACATCCGGCGCTGGGTTTGGAACTCCTTGTCAAGAGTAGCAGCGGCGAGACCCTTGGACATACTTCCCGTGAGCTTGGCCATACTGTCCGAGAATCCGAAAACAGACTTCTTCACGAAACTTGTGGCACCCTTTGCAATACCAATACCCAGCTCTTGGGGACGGTCGGTCATGACCAGACCCTGATACGGCTCATAGAAGATGGCGGCGACGCCAGAGCTGACATTGTTGAACAAACCGACAGGGTTACCCAAGAAATCGGCCGAACCGAGAATAATATGGATCTGGCGCAGGAATTCTTGAGTGTAGTGGGCACGGACATTTCCCACCAGGCTGGGGAAAGAGACACGGGCATTCTCGAGCATCAGAGCATTGAGTCGGACAGGTGCATCATTGACATTACCCATCGACATTGTCATGACGTTGACAAAGAACATCAACGGGTTGGAGGGCTGCATTTCATCTTCCACATTGACACGCTCGGTGCGCATGAAAGAAATATCCATCTGCATGGGCTGGAGATGAAGGAGCTCGAAGTACACATCCTGACCATTGTCTGCCTGCTGCGGCTCTGGAATGTTGAGGTCTTCATCACAGAGCTTGCCCTCTTGTTCCTCCGCCCACGAAGCACCGGGAATTTTGACGAAGTCGAGCATGGCAAAGATAAAGTCCTCATCCAATTCGAGTGTCATTTGCTGCAATAGCAAGGTCGCGTACTTGATATAGAGAACACCGTACGAGTCGTCCTTGACCCGTGTAACCATTGCATGGAAGATCGGGTGTGCTTCCATCTCCTTACCAGTCTTCGGAACAACACTAGGGTAAAGCAAGATTGGGAAAATGCCACCATAGAGTTGGTTATCGATCTGAATCCACTTTATGGTCGTGTTCAGAGTCTGGTATAATCTTGACTCCCTGAACTTAATCTCAATCTCGCGGAATGTGAGATACAGCAGTTCCTTCAGGTTCTGGTTGATCAAGGAAATTCCAATGCCCCCTAAGCGAAGTTGGGCCTTGAAGTTGACGTCCGAATTCATTTCCTTGACCTCGAACCCAGTGTTCGTACCGGTCTGAGAGGATTGTCCTCTCTGTTGCTTGTACATACTCTTAGAGGCTTTGAAATTGGACAGCACGAGAGTCTGAGTGGGGCCATCAGCAGCAATGTTGATATCAATGATCTTCTGGTATCCGCCAGGCTGCGAAGGTGGAATCCGCATTGGGATCAGGTTTCCTATCTCAGCAAGCTTGATATGGCGCTCTTTGCCCTGACAGGTCAACACGAGCGACTTGTTCTTCGTCGCCGGGTAGTCCCATGCATACGGCATGATACTCCGCGCGGGAATTCGATACCGGATTGGCCTCCAGCCGCTAGTTTGGTCGTCTTCATCATCATCTTCCACATTTGGATTGGCTTGGTAGAAAATGAACTCCATATCGCTTTCGTTGCGCATGGAGAACGGCCAATTGCGAGACTCGACGCTGAAGTGCAAGAAAAGAGTTGCTCCTTCCAAGATGATATCAACCTTGATCAGCTTCTGCCGCTGATTCGCCTTGGCCAATTTAATGTGCACAGTTCCAACATCTGCGATGCTGAACGGAGAAGACCATTGGTTGTTGACACCTGGGAAGCAAAGGCACAGCTGTTTCTCTTGTACTTGGCGAAGGAAATGAAGTGGTACTAACTGCCCGTTTTGAACCTGGAGTACGTTGGAGGATCCTGGCTCGCGCACGAGAAGATCTTCGTTGAGCTTGCTCTTTAGGATGAAACGTGGAGCAAGAGTGACCACCTTGGTCAGCTTGTACTTGCCCTCGCCTTCAGCAACAGACACTCCGGAGTGGAACTCGGATCTGCCTTGGCGATCGGGGAAAATGACCTCAAAGGTACTGCCAATAGCCTCGAAACTCTGCGGCTTACTCCACGCAGAATCGCTGACCTTCAGGATAGATCGGTTTCGTTGGTCCTCGTTGGCATAAGAGTACATGTAAGGGAGTGCACGACCCTCGTCTCTTGGATCGGCTCTGAGTCCTTGGCCAGCAGCATTTCTCGCAGACTGAAGGAATGCTTTGCTTTGAATGTCCATGGGAAGGCCAGTCTTATTCAAGATAAGGTATGGGCTGTACACAGAAACCTTAAACGCACCACCGCTGTTGGGGATGTTGAAGTAATGGAGCTGTAACTTCAGTTGAAGACCCCGCTCATCCTTAAGAGACAAGGTATGCTCTCTGCGGTAGTCTTGAGCATTTCCGTTGACGATAGCAAACTCGCTCTGGCGGAAGACCGTATCTTGCAGGTCAATGCTGAGCAACAACAAGTGAGACAGCTCCACGACGTGGACCGGGCTGACGCCCCCCTTCCTCAGGAAGTTCGTCCAATCCTTCTTGGTGTTCTTGTCGTAGATGCGGTACTTGAAATCGTAGGGCAACAGGTTTTGAATCTCCACGGGAGCGAAGATTCGGATTCTCATGTAAGGATACACGTTGGTAAGCGAATCTTTGCTATCAAACGTTGCGTTGACTTGGAAATAGAAAGGAGGAGCCTGCTGTCCACTTTCGCTAACGCACTTGACAGTGCGTGTGGGTCTCTTGATGAGGTCCTTCCAGAACAGTCGCTCATCTGACCAGTCATATCCGAAGCCCTGATCGGGACGAACAACGATAGAATGGAGATACGCTGATCCAACGGGAGCCGGTCGTGCATCGCCAGGCAAAATCTTCTCGATCTTCAACAAGTGGCCGTCTCCGGGACTGAAGACGCCCAATTCCACAGGAATTTGGGTGTTGTTCTCGATAAGAAGCGGCGAACGGAATGTGATGTACTTGACATTATCTGGTCCCAGTTTGACTTCCACGAGTAGCCGGTGAAGAACATTTTCTTGCTTCGGCTTGAGAGCGTAAATAGTCTCGCCCTCGCGCACGACAGGAATGCGGCTGATACTATCGAAGCCACTGCCTTCCAATTTGACACCAACCACTCCGCCGTGGCCTTCTGGTGTCAGTGTTTCACGCACAGCGGTGGAATCTTCAAATCGCCATGGGGATTCTTCGCCATCGGAAAGTTTGGCCGCTGGGCCTTCCTCTCCTGCACTGACATCGGCCCAAACTCTGAGGTCAAATCCAGTGTAGTTGCGGATTCGGTATGGGGCATCAGCACCTCTTGGCTTGGAAAGGACATCCTGATCCGTAGAAAGGAACTGGAAGGATTTGGATGCGAGTGCAATCGTAGCAGATGTTACGGTAAGCTCCATTGTCTTGTGCGAATACACATCGAACGAGAAAACATCCGGGTTGATCTCCTTGGCCATGTGGAATCCCAGCTGCCAGGGTTCAATCAACGGCTCCCAGGCAGACTTCGAGAAGTTGTACACGTTCAAGAACGTTTCAAAGTTGGTGTCAGCATTCAGTGTTGATGACCAGTCGCGTACATCGACGTTGAATTTCTTGACGCTCCAATCGAGCAAAGGTAGATCGTGTAAGTCACCAATAAGAATGACTCTAACTCCGTCGATCTTGGCAGACATCTCTTCGCGCTTGAGGACAATTGTACTCTGTGGCGCAGTTATCTTGTCCAGGTTTCCAACTCCCTGACTCAGGCGACGGACTCTCTTAGCAACATTAGAGGACGTCTTGCTGGCAGAACGACCTCTGCCTGATTTTGTGTCCGTGATTTTCTTCACTTCTCCGCTCTCGATCTGCTGGGCATTCTGAGCCCTCATTTCAGAGGCCTTG